AGAGGGAAGGAAGGAGGGAAAGGGAAGGAATGAAGGAGAGAAGGAGGGAGGGAAAGAAGGAAGGAAAGAGGGAAGGAAGGAGAGAGAGAAGGAAGGATGGAACCAAAGAGCAAAGGAAGGAAGGAAAGAAAGGTAGAGGAGGAAGAAAGGAGAGAAAGGGGGAAAGAAAGAAAAAGGGGAAGGAAGGAAAGAGGGAGGGAAGGAAGGAGAGAAAGAAAGGAGGAGAGAAAGAGGGAGGGAAGGTTGGCCACAGCAACACGTGGCAGGTACAGCTAGAAAATATATAAATATATATATATATATAAATTTTATATATGTGTGTGTATATATATACATACATGCCAATCTAGTATGAAAAGCCTTCAGCTCCATATAAGAGCATGGGGGTAACCTTAGCCTTATATACTTTAAGAAGTGGGTCTAAAGATCCTGGTTGGCTATGATTTTTTAATTTAAGCCATAGATTTGCACATAATCTCAATCTCTGGCTGAGCTCCTTTGATGGCGTGGGAGCCAGGAAAAATGACTCCTAGGCAGGCCCATAGCCAGGATTTTGATTCAGGTGTGTGTGTGTGTGAGAATCTACCCTAGCAAACCTTTTGTATCGTTATCCCAATGCCCCCATTCATATGGGATATATTGTGCATGGTGATCATATCATGATATGAATAAACATAACAGTTTAAATAATGTACCAATAAGGCCTTCTCACAGATCACCCTGAGAATTTGCGGGGGGGGGGGGGGAAGCCCCTCAAGGCCCCCTCCCCCCCGGCTACATGCCTGCTCCTAGGCATGTAAAAGTGAAAACTTGCTCTATTGGTTCACTGGCCAGAAGCCATCTATGCCTAGGATGTCGTTTGCCAAATACCATGATTTTTTACTTCAATTTATCAATAATTAGAGAGTTGATAATCCAATAAGAATTAAATCTCAGCAGCCTATGTAGCCCAACTTGCAAACATGACAATAAAAATCTTGTCATCAGCATATAACTAGTGCGTTTTAAGCACCTTAAGCATATTTACCTCTGGGTCCTAGTTTGAAGTATACTTCAGGTTCTGTTATTTATTTATTTTTATCCTACTTTTCTCCCATGAGTGGGACTCAAAGCGACAAACAATGATTAAAACGTCAGAAATTACATGACACAAAAGCAAGATAAAACTGATAAACAGATAATACAATTACATAAACCGTAGACGACAAAGTTAATAAATACAACATGGGTTGCTGTGAGTTTTCCGGGCTGTCTGGCCATGTTTCAGAAGCATTTTCTCCTGACGTTTTGCTCACATCTATGGCAGGTATCCTCAGACGTTGTGATGTGTGTTGGAAACTGGGCAAGTGGAGTTCTATAACAGATGTTGTTGTGACCTTGGTTTTGGCTTTCAGTCTCCTGAGGACTGAAATAACTTGCTATCTGTCCAATAGGTGATTTCCATTCCGGTGGGAAGTCTCCCATCAACAAGATGAAGTATCATAGCAATGAAAATGGAAAATAAGGTTGGGGCAATAACACATTCCTGACTGACACCTGATTCCACTTTAAATGGGTCACTTTGGGAGACATTGATGTCCAAGACTGTTGCCATCATGTCATTGTGGAGGAGTCGCAGGATGCTCACAAATCTGTCAGTTAATTAAGTATATTCAATGACACACACATCATCATAAAACCACTAACACTCTAGAAATTTATTTATTTATTTAAAGTATTTGTATTCTGCCCTTCTCACCCCGAAGGGGACTCAACATATAAATGGCAAACATTCAATGCCAGGACGTAACTAGACTATGCACATACATAAACATTAAAATCTTGCCGTTAAAATCCTCTGTTTAAAACTGTCTCAAACTTCTGTATCGAATCTGGTTGGCATAATAAGAATTCCTATCGCTGCCTCATTGCAGTCCCAAAGGCTCGGTCCCAAAGCCAAGTTTTATCATCCTTCTAAAGGACAGGAGGGAAGGGGCTGATCTAATCTCATTAGGAAGTGAGTTTCATAGCTGAGGGGCAATCTCTCTCGTCCCTGCCAATTGTACCTGAGAAAGTGTTGGGACGGAGAGCAGGGCCTCCACGGAAGATCTTAATCTCCACAGTAGTTCATAAAGGGAGATACGTTCAGACAGGTAAATTGGCCTGGGGCTGTTTAGTGTTTTATAGGCCAAATCCAGCACTTTGAATTGTGCCTGATAGCAAACTGGCAGCCAGTGGAGCTGGCGTAACATGAGAGCTGTGTGCACTCTGTATGCCGCCCCAGTTATTAATCTGGCTGCCTCTTGTTGGACTATTTGAAGCTTCTGGACAGTTTTCAAAGGCAACCCCACGCAGAGCGCATTGCAGTAGTCTATCCTGGATGTAACAAGAGCGTGGACCATCGTGGCCAAGTCTGACTTCCCAAGGTACGGGCACAACTGGCACACAAGTTTTAACTCTGCGAAAGCCTGCCTAGCCACCACTGCAACCTGAGGTTCCAGGCTCAGTGATGAAACCAGGAGGAATCCCAAGCGGTGAATCTGCACATTCAAGGGGAGTCTAACCCCATCCAGCTCAGGGGAGTGTAACCCTATACCCTGTTCGGCCTTGTGACTGACCAGGAGGACCTCTGTCTTGTCTGGATTCAACTTCAATTTGTTCACCCTCATCCAGACTGTCACAGCAGCCAGGCACCAGTTCACGACCTGGACAGCATCCTTAACAGCAGGTGGAAAGGAGTAATAGAGTTGGACATCATCTACATACAGATGGCATCGAACTCCAAAACTCCAGATGATCTCACCTAGCAGCTTCATGTAGATGTTAAACAACATGGGGAACAAAACTGAGCCCTGTGGGACCCCACAGGACAATGGCTATGGGGCCCAGCAGGAGTCCCCCAACAACACCTTCTGGGTATGATCCTCTAGGAAGGACTAGAGCCATTGCAGAACAGTACCTCCAAGACCCGGGGCTGTTTAGGGCTTTATAGGCCAAAGCCAGCACTTTGAATTGTACTTGGTAGCAAACTGGCAGCCAGTGGAGCTGGCGTAACATGGGAGTTGTGTGCTCCATGTATGCCACTCCAGTTATTAACCTGGCTGCCTCTCGCTGGACTATTTGAAATGTCCGAGCCATTTTCAAAGGCAGCCCCATGTAGAGCGCATTGAAGTAATCTAAGCTAGATGTGATGATTGCGTGGACCAATGTGGCCAAGTCTGACTTCCCCAGGTACGGGCGCAACCGGCGCACAGGTTTTAATTGTACGAAATCCCCCCTGGCCACCATTGCAACCTGAGATTCCAGGTTTAGTGATGGGTCCAGGAGGACTCCCAAACTGTGAACCTGTGCCTTCAAGGGGAGTGTAACCCCATCCAGCACAGGCTGTGACCCTATACCCTGTTCAGGTATAGAAATAATAACAAATAAATAGTCAATTAAAATAGTGAAGAGTAGAGACATCACACTGGTAATGAAGATCTGCATAGTCAAAGCAATGGTATTCCCCGTAGTAACCTATGGATGTGAGAGCTGGACCGTAAGGAAGGCTGAGTGAAAGAAGATAGATGCTTTTGAACTGTGGTGTTGGAAGAAAGTTCTGAGAGTGCCTTGGACTGCGAGAAGACCAACCAGTCCATACTTCAGGAAATAAAGCCCGACTGCTCATTGGAGGGAAGGACAGTAGAGGCCAAGATGAAGTCCTTTGGCCACATCATGAGAAGACAGGAAAGCTTAGAGAAGACAATGATGCTGGGGGAAATGGAAGGAAAAAGGAAGTGGGGCCAACCAAGGGCAAGATGGATGGATGGCATCCTTGAAATGACTGGCTTGATTCTGAAGAAGCTGGGGGTGGTGACAGTCAATAGGGAGCTCTGGCGTTGGCTGGTCCATGAGGTTACAAAGAGTCAGGAGCGACTGAACGAATAAACAACAGTCAAGTAAAAACATGAATAAAATAAACCCTGCAGCAGGGAAGATGGGCAATCGAGCCTCATAAAATACATAAGCAGTAAATACTATTTGAAAATGGAAGGGAAAAAAAAGGGACCGACCAAGGGCAAGATGGATGGATGGTATCCTTGAAGTGACTGGCTTGACCTTGAAGGAGCTGGGGGTGGTGACGGCCGACAGGGAGCTCTGGCGTGGACTGGTCCATAAGGTCACGAGTTGGAAGCGACTGAACGAATGAACTACAAATACTATTTAAACATTATATATATATATATTAGAGTGGCTCTCAAAAGATACAAACCCTTAACAAGAACATTGGTCAGGTGGGAGAGGGATAACGCTGAACCATTTAGGGCTTTATAGGCTAAAGTCAGCACCTTGAATTACGCCCGGAAACAAAACTGGGAGCCAGCCTAGCTGCTTCAGGAGCGGGGCAGTCTTTTCCCTGTTGTCCTACTTCTGTAAACAGTCTAGCTCAGTGATTCTCAACCTGTGGGTCCCCAGGTGTTTTGGCCTACAACTCCCAGAAATCCCAGCCAGTTTACTAGCTGTCAGGATATCTGGGAGTTGAAGGCCAAAGCATCTGGGAACCCACAGGTTGAGAACTACTGGTCTAGCTGCTGACCTTTGTGGGACAGCCCCATATAGAGCGTTTTGCAGTAGTCTAGTCTGGATGTGACTAAGGCCTGTACTACCACATCGGGCTTTTCAAGGTAAAGGTGCAGCTGGCGCACAAGCTTCAACTGTTCTTTGTGCCCTAAGCCTTTGGTTTGCAATCCTAGGCCGTTCTGGCCTTTGGACTTCAGCTCCCAGAATCCCTGGCTATTGGACAAGCTGGCCGAGGCTTCTGGGAGTTGGAGTCCCGAAGACCTCAATGGTCTCTTCAGAAAAGTGCGCGCAAAGCCGGCTCTTCCCCTCTCGGACGCTCCCCCCGCCGCACCTCCTCCTCGCAGCCAATGAGGAGCCGTTTCCCTCCTCCCCTCAGAAAAGAGCCGAAGGGCCCGCCTTCGCTCCGCCTCTCAGCCAATGAGACTCGCGCTCTTCTCCTTTCCGCCCTCCCTCTTTTTTTGGCAGCGCAATGGGCGGGGCCCATCTGCCAATGAAAGCCGGGGAGACTGGTACCTGCCAGGTAGAAGCGGGTTGATAGCGGTAGAGCAGTAGCCATGAGCGGCCACGTCGGGGATCTGAGTCCCAAGCAGGAGGAGGCTCTGGCCAAGGTGAGTGGCATCCCTTCTCCACTTTGGATTTGGAAGCAGATCCCATCCACGTTTCAAAGCTAAACCCTTCTTTCACACCGCTTGAGCTGCCAGGATCCCATCCCATTGCATGCTGGGAATTGTAGTCCGTTTGGACCCCTGTGCTCCCTTAGACAAAGGGGGAAAACCTCGCAAAAGAACTACAATTCCCGTCCTCCCACAGCATTAGTTATTTATAAAGCTGTGTCAAATTGATGATGTGTCTGCCTGATGGGTGCTAAACAATGTCCTTGCAATCAATAAATACATCAATACTTATAAAAATATAAATATCATTAATTAAAAAGTACACACACACACAGATATACGCATCTATATCATTAATGATATATATTGTAATTAATTTGTTTAAATATGGTATGTATTGTGTGTTTTTATTGGTTGATTATGTTTTTTGTTCAATTTTATGTTATGTTATTTTTGCTGTTTTTTTAGTTTTGTACGCCGCTTTGAATTTCACCCATGGGAGAAAAGCGGGATAGTAATAATATGTAAAATTATATATATATATATGTATATATATATGTATATATGTATATATATATATATATGTAATATATTATAATAAATCTAGATCAAGTAGAATGCCTCTATAAAGAAATATAAAATAAATGATCAATGTAGAATAGATAAATATAATAAATAAGAATAATAAAATAAAATAATAAATAAAAGTAAAATAATAAAATAAATATTAATAAAATAATAACGTAACATTCTATAAATATAATAAAATAATAGGAGCCCCCGGTGGCACAGTGGGTTAAACCCCTGTGCTGGCAGGACTGAAGACTGACAGGTTGCAGGTTCGAATCCGGGGAGAGGTGGATGAGCTCCCTCTATCAGCTTAAGCTCCTCATACGGGGACATGAGAGAAGCCTCCCACGAGGATGATAAAAACATCAAATCATCCAGGCGTCCCCTGGGCAACATCCTTGTAGACGGCCAATTCTCTCACACCAGGAGTCACTCCTGACACGACAAAAAAATAAATAAAAAATAATAATAAAACATAACTAGCAAAATAACTTTTTCCATGTTTTTATAATAAAACCAATTAGAAAATGAGACTGATAACCCAGGGACAAAAATGCCTTTGGTTGGTACTTCAACCAATATATTGGTTAAATTGATGGATTTCCATGAATCCCAAGGATATGGGCAGACTTGGCATCCCTTGACTGAGTTTGCTACATTTCTATCCACTATATTTGCCTCCTATTTTCTTCTTCAGTCTTCATTTCCAAGCAATAAACACTCATTATCTTCTAATGTGTATTGTGCAGCTCCAGGCTTTCTTTTTGCCTTTGAGTGAGTAGGCAGATGAACATTTATTATTACTATATTATATGTATTGTTATTATTAACATCTGTTCAAATTGAGTCTGGTTGCCTTACCAAATGACAGATCCCAGGATCTTGTAGCATTGAGTCAAAGTGGTGTCAAACGGCATTAAATCCACAATGTAGATACTCCTAGCCAGCCTCTTACATAAGGATTACCTGATAGGGTCAGCTCAATGGTTTCTAATCCAGATTTGTGTATTTAAGGAGCCCAGGATGGTGCCAAAGTTTCATAAGGATATATATTATAGAAGGAAGAGCTATCTTTGTTGTCGTTCGAATATTCTGTTTTGTGGTCTGAAATGATTCAGATATCAGTGGTTTCAACATACTATTATATTTCTAAAGGATGAGAATGCAGACTTTTTGGGAAATGTGTATTTCGGACTGTAACCGGAGAAAATTTCCATCGAGTTTAATAAGCTTCCCACTTAGATATAACAAGCAATAATATGCATAATATGCATTTTATGTGCAAGTATTTCTTGAATTATGTTTCTTATCTGGGCCTCTCTAGGATGAAAAAATCTTAAGTAAAAACCAGTTGATGCAAACTTTGCAGCTCTGGCTCCAGGGCAACAATGCCTCAATTAACCATCAGATTAATTAGGATTTCTTTTTTTTTTTCCTTCCTAGGATGGTTGGGAAAGAGGCTGAGAGGCCCAGCCTGTTCCTTTCTTTTAACCCTTTCTCTGTAGAATTGGGATTGCAGGGATGTTGTGAGACCTGTTTCTGTGTCCGCCACCCAGGAATGTGGCAGTTGCTTAGAGACTGGCAAATGGGAAGGCATACAAAGCAGTGGGTTGCAGGGTGGGAAATCAGCCCAGGACACACCGTTTTGAGACAAGATTCGTTCATTCCCTTTTACTAGGTTAAACCAGCCCCTTAGAAGAGATACGGCACATGCATGAATTATCATGGGGACACAACTTATCTCATGAAAACCTTTCATTTACACATTTCTAAAAATATATTTTTTATTGCTTCTTAGCGTGTATATCCAATTGCATTGCCTAAGTGGCCTTGGGGCTGCTGGCGGTCTACTTTCTAATTTCTCTGGTTCTGAAAAGGTCTACTTGCTCCAGCTCTGAGAAAAAGGCCTACTATTTCCCTTCTCCAGCTCTGAGGAGAAGACCTGCTTTCTCCCTCCTCCAGCTCTGAGGAGGCATACTTTCTCCCTTCTCCAGCTCTGAGAAGAAGGCCTGCTTTCTCCCTTTTCTAGCTTTGAGAAATAGGCCCACTTTCTCCCTTCTCCAGCTCTGAGAAGAAGGCCTGCTTTCTCCCTTTTCTAGCTTTGAGAAGTAGGCCCACTTTCTCCCTTCTCCAGCTCTGAGAAGAAGGCCTGCTTTCTCCCCTTTCTAGCTTTGAGAAGTAGGCCCACTTTCTCCCTTCTCCAGCTCTGAGAAGACCTGCTTTCTCCATTCTCCATCTTTGAGGAAAAGACCTCCTTTTTCCCTTCTCCAGCTCTGAGAAGGCCTACTGTCTCCCTTCTCCAGCTCTGACGAGAAGGCCTACATTCTCCATAGGAACACTACGACAACGGTGGGCAGGTTCTCTTTGTTGCTCTTTCCTTCCTTTTCCCCTTCCCCTTATACACTCAGAATACCCCCCCCTTTTTTTTTGCAGTGACACCACAGAGCGTCACTTCACTCAGCAACAGTCTTTGTGGTACAAACAAACAAACATACTGTGATATATAGATGCATACACTGCAATAAACAAAATGTATGGGGATGCTTCGTAGCTCATGAAAACCTTTCATTTAAATATTTTAATGTACACACACACACACACACACATGATTTATTGCTTAAATGGCATACAGGAACGAAGGTCTCTTCTTTCTTGGTGCACAATCTTGCATTGGTGCTTCTCAGCCTTCTCCCGAGGAGTAATTACACCTCATTTCAGGCGACGCTAATCCTGTCTGCTTCATTAAGGTGGACAGGACCTTGAGCAACCGGCCTCCTGAGAGAATGTATTCAGAGAGCTTCCGTCCATAAATTGGCTTTGATTTGTTTTTCTGGACGTTTGTAGGAGCGAAAGGACCATGCAAATCCCAACCAAGGGATGATAACCCTCTTGATCTCTGTTTCTCGCAGTTCCGAGAGAACATCCACGACATCCTTCCTCTGCTCCCGGCCCAGGATGACTACTATATCCTGAAATGGCTCCGAGGTAAGAAAAGAGTTTCTCCAAGCTTTAGGAAAACCTACAGCTGTAAACACAGCTAGTAGCAGGAAGGCATTTTTCTCCAGCTCTGAGAAAGCTCACCTTCTCCCTTCTTCATCTCCAAGAAGGCCTAGTTTCCACCTTCTCTAGCTCCAAAGCCTACTTTATCTTTTCTCTGGCTTTGAAAGTAGGCCTACTTTCTCCCTTCTCCAGTTCTGCAAAAGGCCACTTTCTCCCTCCTTTAGCTCTTAAAGTAGGCCTACTTTCTCCCTTCTCCATCTCTGAGATGAGGGGTCTTCAAGGGATAGATCAAAAGTGCCATTTCTCTTGAAGGGTTCTTTCCTCGGAAAGGAACCACACTACTTCCAAGCTTTAGGAAAACCTACAGATGTAAATACAGCTAGTAAATACAGCAGAGGCCCTTCCCATGTCAGTGGTGCAGGAAACCTGTGCCGAACCCTCTTTTCAGCACCTTGGAGAATTCCAAGACGGCTGCAGCAAAGGATGGATCATAGGGGCTTCCTTTTGTTACAGCTTGAATTGGCCCTGCAACCTTTCGGTGACACCTCCCACCTGTTTGAATGTTTTCCTCTGGCCAAAAGTCCAAAAGTCAACCTGAGAGGCCTATCAGTGACCCTTGAGCCTGGTCTGATAAACACACTGCTCTCCCGGGGCGAAATTCCAAGGCTGGGGAGGCAGGAGAGTGGAGGTGGGTCGTCCTGGAGAAACATGCCCCTGCTGTGCCTGGGGAGGCCATTTCCAAGGACGGGAATTGCCCAGACTTTCTTGGACCCCAATCTGCAACCTGCCTTGTACCCCATCCTATCTTCCTCGGATTCAACCCTCCCATGTTTTGGCACTGGTGGCTTTGGGTCTCTCTGGAGACTCTGCCTTGTGGGGAAGATAAGAAGCAAGCGAAAGGACTCTTTCTGCAATGGAAAGGTGATGGCAGTGTGCAGCGGGGAGATAAGATAGGGACGCCAGCACCAGATAAGCTTCAACCTTTCCTCCCCACAGAGCCTCTAATCGGGGAACTTATCAAGATAATTGAGAAAGTATCAGAATGCGCTTTCTCCTCCGATAGAAATAAGCCATGAACCTGCAAAAGGAGGCAAACACCGTATTACAACATTGAGGATTTGTTCCTGGATGAACCCTATTGCAACAAGCAATTTCTGTGGGGAGTTCCTATAGAATTGCCCCTCTGCTGAGCCCGTCTGGGGAAGAGACAGAGGAAATGGGCGAGAGGAGGCAACCAATTCATGGCCCTGAACTTTTGGAAAATGACATTCATAACCTTTTGGAGAAAAAAACCCAACATTTGGAAATCAGAACTTTTTAGAAAAGCACGACCTTTCAGAGAAGAGTCAAAAACCCTTTAGAGTAGAATCTTCTCTTGTGGTCTAATTATGCAAGGCAATGGTTTCAATTGTTAGACCGAATAACCTGTTGTCTCTGATCTGCTAGGAAAACAGAGATTTGCCTGTGCATAAAAAACAGCAGCTTCAGAAGTGTTTTTCAGTGCCTCAGAACATATATCTGCTCTCCCATAAAACAACTTGCTTTATATCACACACTCACGAGACAAAACTGAAGTAGACTTGGATAAAAATAACATATTTGGTTTACTCACAACCATCATGTGTTGACCATATACAGGTACAAAACTTATCCATCCAGTTTCAGATATGTTTGAGATCATTCTCTGTGCCAGCTGGCCAAGGCATCGCTTACAGCAAAACAGCGAGCAAGTGTGTGTTCTGAGGTCTGAAGTAGTCAGTCCTCTGCTATGGTGATCACGTGGTCTGCAGCCCCTTTTCTAACTTCTCAGGAACTATAGAGTAAAGGAAGCTGCATACCAGAACATACCTACAGGAAACAGTAAACAACAGGACCATAGATAAACATTACTAGAGAAGGCTTGAAGAAGGTTGTCATTTCCAACATTAACTGTCCAGGCCAAAAGAGCGGCTCAGATGGCTCGATAAGCACAATGTAGGGACTGTGGGCACAAATCCAGCCCTATCAATGGCATACTTTTGGAAAAAGATGGATTGGAGCAAAAGCTCCCTCTTTGTTCCTTTCCTTATCCCTTTCTTCTCTCTCCCAAAACTGCTCTTTGCATCAGAAGGAGGCATCCCTTCAAACCAGCCAGCTCTCCAACTTGGTAGCATTCCTGGCTGAGATTCAAGGATCAGTGAAGGAGATATGCTCCAAAATTAATTAATTTGGTTTTTCGTTCCCTTACATAAGTGTTGGGAAAGCCAACCTCGCAGGTGTTGGTCCAACTGGAACAAGGTATAGGCTTGCTAAATGTAAACAGCAATTGCATTCGGATTAAGAATAATGTTGTTGAAACCCACAAGAACTGAGTGATTCCGGCCATGAAAGCCTTCGACAATACAATGTTGTTGAACTTTAATCTCCTTTCTTTCGTTGCAGCCAGGTGTTTCGACTTGCAGAAGTCGGAGGCCATGCTCCGAAAGGTAAAGAGATACAGATATATAGATATATTGGTCAGGTGTTGTTGGGACTGCTAGCCACCTGCTTTAGCTCCGATAAGGCCTACGACTTTCTTCTCCATCTCCGAGAAGCCCAGTGTCTCCATCACAACTGAGAGACTCCTAAAGAGACTCCCTGCAGATATTTTTAGCCCTCTTCCCTTTGCCACCTCTCCATCTGCAGTAGCTTTCATATCAATACAATGTCCCTCTTGTGGTTGCACCTGAGCTCTGTAACATGAGGCTCGTTTTTTGGGGTTCCAGTTGAAACCCCACCAGGATGTTAAGTGGGGTCACAAAGGGTATATGTGTGCAACCTTTGGTCCCAACCCACCAAGCCATGTAGGATTCTTTGTAGAACAAACCGATCTACATACAGACATTCTCAACAGGGCTATAGGGGAACTAATTGCAAACGCTTCCATCACTGAGCATGACTCTTTCCGTTTCTCTCCCGGCAGCATGTGGAGTACCGGAAGCGCATGGATGCCGACCACATTTTGGAATGGCAGGCCCCAGAGGTCAGTCACCTCCTTGCTTGCCCTCTTGGCCTTGCCCTTGGCCTTCTTTCTTCAACGTCTAGATCTCTGTGTTTTCCTCCTCGAAGGTGGTCCAGAAGTACATGACGGGGGGCAGGTGTGGCTTCGACCTGGAGGGCTGCCCCATCTGGTTTGAGATCATTGGGCCCCTGGACGCCAAGGGTATCCTCTTCTCTGCCTCCAAGCAGGACTTGCTCAAGAAGAAGTTCCAGGACTGCGAGATCTTGCGGGGCTTGTGCGATGCGCAGACTGAGAAAGTAAGGGGCTTTTCATTCAATAGCCAGACTCCAAAGGTGTCAGACCTTAGCAAAGCTCAGTTTAGAGTTTACATAGCAACCTCTGCAAAGACCTTCGGGGCGAGTAGAGCAATTGCCCTTCACTTCCTTCCTCCACTTGAAAACTCATTCAGCAATTGACACACATCTGGAAAAACAGGTTGTCGCAAGACTTCTTCCGCATGCCGGAAGGCATTGAAGCGATTCTTGCTAAAGCAAGGCCCATGTTTAACTTGCTTATTAAATGATAAGCTGCTCTGAGGACGCCCACTTTCACCCTTTTCCAGCTCTGAGAAGAAGGCCTACTCTCTCCCTTCCAACAGCTCTGAGAAGAGATCCTACTTTCTCCCTTCTCCAGTTCTAAAAAGGCCTACTTTCTCCAAGTCTTAGAAAACCTACTTTCTCCCTTCTCTAGCTCCGAGGTCTACTTTCTCCCTTCTTCAGTTCTGAGAAGGCCTAATTTCTCCAACTCTTAGGTGGCCTACTTTCCCTCTTCTCCAGCTCTGAGAAAAATGGCCTACTTTCTCCCTTCTCCGGCACTGAAAAACTACTTTCTCCAATTCTTAGAAGGCCTACTTTTTCCCTTTGACTTTTATAAATGTAGAGAAGAGAGATGATTGGAGTGTGATGAGCTGTAGTCCGGACTAGAAACAAGACAGTCTTAAATTAGTGATGGAGGAGCGTCTGCTTTTCTGCCGGGCTGTAATGTTTCTTACATTGGAATGGCTAACTTTTGCCTTATTTTTCTTTCTTTTTTGCTTCCTAAAGCTGGGGAGGAAGGTCGAAAGTGTCATCATGGTTTATGATTTCGAAGGGCTGAGCTTGAAACATCTCTGGAAGCCAGCGGTGGAGGCCTATTCGGAGGTAAAGATACAACAGTCACTGCTGAAGAGCCTTGTCTACCTAGAGTGCTTCATACGTCCATTTGGTTTCTCTTCTCCTCCTCTTCCAGCTGCTTTCCATGTTTGAGGAGAACTACCCTGAGTGCCTGAAACACGCCTTTATCATCAAAGGTAAACGTTTTCCTGCGAAACTTGGGCCTAGAAGATGCATTTTCCTTTGCCTTGCCGTGAACTTGCTTTTGCTTTCCCACAGCTCCAAAGCTCTTCCCTGTGGCCTATAACCTGGTGAAGCGCTTTCTGAGCGAAGACACACGAAAGAAGATCGTCATCTTGGGAGGTGAGTCAAAACGGGTCCTGAACTGGCTCAAGGGGAAGGTGGAGGCTTCCAGGTCCAGCTCGGGGGTCTTTGGGACCACAGTTTGCCTACTTTCTCCCTTTTTCAGCTCTAAGATAGCCTACTTTCTCCCTTCTCCGGCTCTGTGAAAGCTCGCCTTCTTCGGCTTGGAGAAGGCCTACTTTATTCCTCTCCAGCTCTGTGAAAGCTCACCTTCTCCACTCTCCAGGTCCAAAGCCTACTTTCTTGTTTCTCCAGCTTTGAGAAAGCCTACTTTCTTCAGATCCAAGAAGGCATCATTTCTTCCTTCTCTAGTTCTGCAAAAGGCCACTTTCTCCCTCCTCCAGTTCTGTGTTCTAGTTTCTCCCTCCTCCAGCTCTGAAAGTAGGACTACTTTCTCCCTTTTCCAGGTCTGGAAGGCCCACTTTCTCCCTTCCCCATCTCTGAGAAGAGGGGTCTTTAAGGGATCAATCAAAAGTGCCATTTCTCTTTAATGGTTCCCTCCTCAGAAAGAAACTGCCCTCCTTCCATGCCTTTGTTTAGCCCCATCATAAGGCCTCCCTGTGTTCTGGGAGCCACATGAATGGCTCCATTCAGGAATTTGTAATGCTGAAAACTGTCCAGCTTTTGTTAGGAAAGGACATTCCTGGCCCTATTAGAAGCAGAAGGAGAATAAAGGCAAGCCAAAGTATGGTTGCTTCGTTCTTCTTATGGGGAACGACTGGACCTGGGTTTAAATCCGCATTCAGCCCTGTTACTTGGAAAAGCATGTCAACAATGGGGGAGGGAGGGGGGGACGACACTTGGATGTACCAAACTCTGGCCTCTGAAACCAGGCCAAGGTTTTTGCACCACAGTAGATAATCCCCTGATCCCTTTCTTTTAATCCTGCCGCAAATTGCTCAAGGCTTCCCTTAAGCCGCTTTCTAAAAAAGCAAAGAAACAGAAGACACGTTTTTCTCTCCCATCACTGGACCTTTCTGGGTGGGCCTATTCCAACAATAGAAATTGTACATTTTCTCATATATCTTGTATGCATCAATGGGTACATCGCTTTGGATGGAGAAACGGGAAAGCAGGCCTTCTTCTCAGAGCTGGAGAAGGGAAAAGTAGACCGGGTACTGATGGCGGCTGGCTCTAGCTCCCATGTTGTGCCAGCTGCCTTGAGTCCCCTTGCCGGGGTAGAGAAGGGCGGAGTACATGTATGGCAAATAATAAATAAATAAATAGACACGCCAGGCATAGATACACAAATATATATATATTAAATATTTTAAAGGACATAAGAGGTGGAATCTCTCTTATTTTCATAATGCATGGAACATTATTATTATTTGAAACACAACAAGATGAGTCCACAGCAAACAAGATCACTCAACTGGCCGTTGTATTGGATCACACGTCGGACACTTCCCAAGTGTCTAGGACTATGTGATGTATCGACGAATAATGTGTGCACATCCCAGTAAGGTGGCCTTTTGGAGATGTCAGATGGTAATTTTGTCAGCGCCGATTGTGTTTAAGTGCAGGCCAAGATCTTTAGGCACTGCACTCACTGTGCCGATCACCACCGGGACCACCTGCAGTTCGATCTTTAAATCCGGCAGGAAGATTACTTTTGCCCCCTTTCTGCTCTTCTTCAGCTTACTGGCAAAGATATCTTTAATTTCTTTCAGTGTGTTGCACTTTATTGATAAAGAGATCTCCTGGCAATGGGAGCCCAGGCCCAAACACGAAATAATATATGTCTCATATATACACATAGCCAGAGAGTCATTTTATATGCAGTACGTTTAATAATTTGATGCACTGAATCTTATTAACACCATTGCAAATCAAAGGGGGTGCCATCTCAGCCCCTTAAAATTGACCTTTTCCAGAGAAAGGATGCTCAAACAGTATTATTACTATTATTATTATTATTATTACTTTGATAAGCTTTTGGAGGACAAATGGTTAAGTAGGTTGAAGCACGTGCTCCGAAGATGAGTAACTCTATGGCTTCCCTCTAGCAAACTGGAAGGAGGCCTTGCTCAATTACATTGATGCCAAAGAGCTGCCAGTGGAATACGGGGGCACCCTCACCGACCCTGACGGAGACCCCAAATGCAAGACCAAGGTAGTAGGGGCTTAGTAGGGCCAGGAGAGAGGAGCTATAGCCCCCTCCACCTCTTCTATTTACTAATGTGGTTGTTCGTTCTTTGGTGCAGTTGAACTACGGCGGGGAGGTGCCCAAGAAGTACTACATGCGGGACCAGCTCAAAACCCAGTATGAGCACAGCGTGGTGGTGAGCCGGGGCTCCTCCCACCAAGTGGAGTACGAAATCCTCTTCCCCGGCTGCGTCCTCAGGTGAGCCGATTCTGGGAAAGCCAAGGGCAACCAAATCTTTCGGGAATCACAGAGAAAGGAGAATCTCATGGGTGTCTCCCCTCACCAGGTGGCAGTTCATGTCCGACAGCGCTGACATTGGCTTCGGAGTCTACCTGAAGACCAAGGTGGGGGCCCGTCAGCACGCTGGCGAGATGAGTGAGGTCTTTGCCAACCAGCGCTACAACGCCCACATGGTGCCTGAGGATGGTTCTTTGACCTGCGTTGACGCTGGGATCTGTGAGTTGCCCCCCGCTTTAGTGCAAAACCCCCATTCAGGACCCTTTCTGTTGGGCCAAACTCCCAAATCAGCACCTGCTTCTGTCTTGCACTTGAGGACTGTCTCCAGATTGATGAGAGAGAGTACCCTCTGTCCCCTAATATGAGAATACAATAGCGCCCATGGGGATTGGTAGATGCCAGATCAATGTAGTTTCTCTACAGACCATACATATATGGAGTCCCCAGTGGTGAAATGGGTTAAACCCTTGTGCTGGCAGGACTGAAGACTGACAGGTCGGAGGTTCGAATCCGGGGAGAGACTGGATGAGCTCCCTGTGTCAGCTCCGGCTCCCCATACGGGGACATGAGAGAAGCCTCCCACAAGGATGGTAAAACATCCGGGCATTTCTCAAGTTGCTCCTGACTCTCTCTCTCTCTCTCTCTCTCTCTCTCTCTCTCTCTCTCTCTCTATAAAATGTATATGTATATCTGTGTGTGTGTATGTATGTGTGTGTGTTTATTTATTTATTTCATTTGCGCTCCTTTCGCACTGCCTGCCACTCCTTCCCTGTTGCTGACCATGGCATACAGTTTCTGTATCAGAAACTAGAGCTGATGTGGTCTATCCAATGCAATTTTCTGAATCAGCACCCCAAACCGAAGTTGACCAAAAACTGATTCGTAACCCTTTTGGTACTCATGTTGGAGAGTGGTCCCTGGTCAAGTGGTCCCTGGTCAAAAAAAGGTTGGGAACCACTGATCTATATGGTTGGCGTATGTGTATGTGATGAACTCTGTATATAGCTAAATCTATCCTATACGTGTGTGTGTGTACACACACGGCATAAACTCTGTATATATCATACACATGCACACACACATATATATGGTGCATGTGTATATCTATCTATAGATGGGGCGTACATATGTTATAATATGGTATGTATATACATTGGGAGTGTCTATATCTATCCTATGTGTGTGTGTGTGTATACACACAGCATAAACTCTGTATATGCCATATATATATGGTATGTATGTATGTATGTATGTATGTATGTATGTATGTATGTATTTGGGTTGTGATATATGTGTGCATGTGCATATATATACACACACACATTCCACAAATGCTGTATACAGGCAGCCCTCCAAGTTACAAACGACTGCTAGGTTAGAACAGGGCTGAGACAACAGGAAGTGGGAGACATCTACCCCTCAGAAAGGAAATCCACTTCTGGAAGAGTTAAATAAACAGAACCAGTCTTGTTTGTAACTTGGGGACTGCCTCTATACTGTACTGTAAACACTGTACAGACCTGATACTAATACTAGAATACAGTTTTAAAAAACAAATGAAGACCAACTTAAGTGTAACCCAATTTTACCATAGGATTAAAAATAGTTTTGTGAATATCATGAAATGGCCACTGAGAAACGTATCAAGTATCAACTCGATGAACTTCACTCGCATGATTGCAAGTGGAAACCAACCTTGATTTAATTTGCGTTAAAGTCCTTTCCCTATTTGTTCTAAGACACCCTTTTCCACCTCGTAAAAACATTCCTATAATCGGGGTGCGCCTTAGGGCCCTTCCAGACAGGCCCATATCTTAGGATTTGATCCTAGGTTTTCTGCTTTAAACTGGATTATATGAGTCCGCACTGCCACATAATCTGGGATAAACAGAAAACCTGGGATCGGGTCCTGGGATATAGGGCCTGTCTGGAAAGGTCCTTAGACTTCCCGGGCCCTGATTTGTGACTGTTTTTGCTCTCTCTTATCTTAGACGTTCTGCGCTTCGACAACACCTATAGCTACCTCCACGCCAAGAAGATCAGCTACACAGTGGAGGTGCTGCTGCCGGACAAGAAGGCTGAGGCGGGCTTCAAGCAGCTGGATGACCAACTGGAAGTGCTGACCCTCAATGATGCCTGAGCCCCTTGGGGTGGGAAGCCTGCTCCTTGGGGCCAACCTTGGGGCAGGAAAGTGGGCACCTTGGGGGAGAAAGTCTCCCCCAACAAAACGGGTCTGCCGCAAGCTTTAGGGCAGGGCCTGCACGACTCGGCGGTAGTAAGGGGACACAATTTTAATAGGGCTACACCTCTCCTCTATGCTCCATCCTGGTTGGCTGTGACCCGTCCCATGACTGCCACTTTGTCATGCCCCCACCTCCCCCTTCATAGAATAAGGAGCTGTGGCCTAAACCCTCTTCAATGCCTCTTCGGGCTGCCTGGCAATCCCATGAAGGGCTGTGTGTGCCCCGTGGGGTGGACATTGTACAAGTCTGATTTATGGCATAATGGGAGAAGTGGTTACCTTCTAGCTCATATTCTATGCCAGTTGAGAAAGTGGGATTGGCCCACTTCCCTATGGAGGGAATGGGGTTAACATTTGCCCAGTCCAGTCAACTGGAAGCCAATCGCTCGCCTCCAGTTTAGCCAGTAAAGTTATGTCTAACTGTGACGGTTCATCATCCCATAGGTTGATACCAAATAAATTGACCCTTGATAGGACAACCCCCTTCCCATACGTCGACCCGCGAGAGAGCGACCCCCTGATAGGCCGATCCCAAATAGATTAACCCCTGATAGGACAACCCCTCCATAGGTCGACCCCGGAGAGGTTGACCTCCCAATACTTATAGCGTAATTTCTTTCCACTCACATTGACTGGCATTCATGGCCTCTCGCAACCAAATCCCTACCCGTTTGCCCAGCGATTCTAACGGTGGCCCACCTGCTCATCCTTCCAGTTTCGCCTATGTCGATGACTTGCTGATGAAGTGGCCGCCTTAACCCCTCTATTCGCCCCCTGCCTTGTTTACTTTTTTGCTGGTGCCTGAGACATTGAAAGGGCTGACGATTGAAAGCACACACCAGAAAAAACAAACCCACATCCAAGCCATATTGTTTACATGCTCTGGGTTCGAGTGGCGCCCAGCCGTTTTGTTCTTTCTTTTGGACATGGAGGCTTCTAGAGAAAGTAGAGTTTGGGACTCTCTGGAAACAAGCCAATGCTTTTGTTCTCCCGCCATTCTTCTTATTTCCCCCCCCCCCCCCCCATTGATCTAATAAACGCTGATGTCGGACTCTGGAGTGGTCTCTTTGTCTCCCTTTTACACCAAGGTTTTGGATTGCAACTCCCATCATCCCCCGATCATTGGCTACACAATTTGGGGCTACTGGCAGTCATCAGCCATATTGAAAACTAAATGTTGTTTGCTTTCCAATGATCCAAAGGCTTTCTATGGAGTGAGTTAGGCGTGCTTTTGACCAATTTGTGCCATTTGAAGCCCATAGAAAGGCATTTTTGGGGGTTGGGGAGGTAGTAATTGACATGGTAATTTGCTTTTTCCATGGCAAATATGGAGGGTTTGTTATAATACTTGTTATATAGTAATTATAATATATTATTACTGTATATTGTATTTTATTTATATCCCGCTTTATCTTTCCATGCTGAGATTCAAAGCGGCTCATAATTCAAAACATTACAATACAACTTCAAATATACACATACCCAATAAAACAGTATGATCATTCTATATTATTATAAATTATCAGTAGTATTACAATTAATATATTTGTATTTTTATATTACAATATTATATAGTATTATTAATATTATATTGTATTACATTACAATATTATTATGATTATTTGTCTATACATATACTATATTATGAGGAGCCCCCGGTGGTGCAGTGGGTTAAACCCCTGTGCCGGCAGGACTGAAGAATGACAGGTCGCAGGTTCGAATCCTGGGAGAGGCGGATGAGCTCCCTCTATCAGCTCCAGCTCCTCATATGGGGACATGAGAGAAGCCTCCCACAAGGATGATAAAAACATCAAATCATCCGGGCGTCCCCTGGGCAACGTCCTTGCAGACGGCCAATTCTCTCACATCAGAAGCGACTTGCAGTTTCTCAAGTTGCTCCTGATATGAAAAAAAACCCCTATATTATGAGCCTAGCATAATTAATATATTATTAGATTGTACTATACCACTAGACTGCAAAATTATTTGTAATATTATATATAATACATATTATTATATCATACTATATTATTATACCACACTATATATATAACATGCCACCAGTATGCCATAATATTAATATTATCCAATATATTGTACTACAGCATAAGTTGTAGTACATCTAATATATTATGTGATAACATTATTACTATTATATATTGTATAATATTATATATAAATGAGACAAACCTCTCTGAGGATGCCAAGCCCTTGGAAAGAGGGGCATTTCTTGGCATTTTTTCTCCTTTTTGAAGGCCTGCGCCTTCCTTTCCTGGGTTTTCAGCCATTTCTCTTAAAGGAGGCGCTGCTGGATGGCCCTTAAAGGCACAGGAGCTTTGGGTCAAGTGTCACTTGGCAACCTAACTTGTCGGGGAAATTGCTGGTTTGCTGCTCAGGGGAGGGCCTTCCCTATTGGATTCGAGAGGGGGCGGGGCCAAGGCATACCCGTCTCTGCCTGGCCCCGCCCTCTTACGAGGAAGCTTTCCCGCGGTTTGGCCAAGGCGGCCATGGGCTCCGGCGGCCCGGAAGCGGGGATCGACCTCTACCGAGACACGTGGGTGCGCTACCTGGGTAAGGAAGGCTTGGGGAAAGGGGGGGGGGGCTGCCCTTTGCTCCTGACAGGTGTCTTTAATAATCAAGATAATAATAATCAAGATAATAATATAAAGATAATAATAATAATAGTAATATAAAGATGATAATAATACTTCCTCCCTGTTTGGTGGCCCAATGCAAGTTGACATTGAGGGATAGATGTAAAGTTAAGAATCATAATGATAAAGAGAAAAAGAAAGATAATAAAGATAATAATTTCTATCCCACAAAGTTACCTTGCCTTGGGCACCAAACAGGGAGGAAATATTATCATCATCATATTTATATTATTGTTATCTTTATATTATTAACAATAATATTTCCTCCCTGTTTGGTGCCCAAGGCAATGTAACTTTGTGGGATAGAAATAAAGTTAATAATAATAATAATGATGATAATAATACTATATTGATGCTAATACTACTATAAAGATGATGATGATGATGATGATAAATCCATCATTGGTGGCTCAAGGCAAGGAGACTTTTACCCACTTTCACCTTGGCCTTTGTTGACATTAGGATGGAGCTTATATTACCGAAACACTGCTAAATATAACTCAGCAGTAGCCTGAAATAGAATATAATGTAACCTAATATATTCATAATACAATATAGTATAATATAGTATAAAATAAAATTACATGTAATATAAAATTATAATAGTATAATGAAATATAATATAATGCACTGGCCAAGGCTAGGATGTTAGTGGCCTAAGGCTTTGGGGTCAAGCCAGAGGGGGATTCGAACCCAGTCGGAACCCTTGGGGCCATGGAGGAAAATGCATGACCTCTGTTGCCATGTGACCTCCAGTGACCCTGGCCTGGGGCTGAGAGAGTGTGACCATTTGGGGATTTGAACCCTCAAGGATTGGGCATCTCTCCTAGGTTACGCCAACGAGGTCGGGGAGTCCTTCCGGGCCATCGTCCCAGTGTCCTTGGTCTGGGCCAGTTATGGGGTGGCCACGGCGTACGTCACTGCAGATGCTTTCGACAAGGGCAAGAAGGCCGCCGCCCTGCAGGTAGGTGCCTAACTATGCCCATTGCTTGGGCTCTGACAACCCAAGAGTTCCCTGAATGGTCCAGGTGGGCTCCATGGTCCTTCCAGGTTATAGGTTCTTGATCCATGGACTCTGGTTGTCGATTCAGGGGTACCCTTGAGGCTATCTTCTCTTCTACCTCTGGCAGAACACTGACCTCAGTTGACCCCAAAATATTCCCATTCCTTTGGTTGGCATGACTCAGTGGTTGGTTGGATGGTCACATTGGGCCCCATGTTCCTTCTGGCTGTTTTTTAGATGATCAAGATGGACCCCATAGTCCTTCTGGTTGAAGGTCCATGTTTCTTAGATGGTCAGCACGGGCCCCATGTTCTTCTTGGTTCTAGGTTAATGTTCCTTAGATGGTCAATATGGACTCCATGCTCCTTAGATGGTCAGGATAGGCTCCATGTTCTTTGGATGGTCAAAATGGACCCCATAGTTCTTCCGGGTGAAGGTCCATGTTCCTTAGATGGTCAAGATGGGCCCCATGTTCCTCTTGTGTTCTAGGTTCGTATTCCTTAGATGGTCAAGATGGGTCCCATGTTCCTTAGATGGTCAAGATGGGCCCCATGTTCTTTAGATAGTTATGATGGGCTCCATGTTCCTTCTAGTTGAAGCTCCATGTGCCTTAGATGGTCAAGATGGATCCCATAGTCCTTCTGGTTGAAGGACCATGTTCCTTAGATGGTTAAGATAGGTTCCATGTTCCTTCTGGTTGAAGGTCCATGTTCGCTAGATGGTCAAGATGGGCCCCATATTCGCTAGATAGTTAGGATTGTCACCATGTTCCTTAGATGGTCATGATGGGTTCCATGTTTCTTGGAAGGTCAAGGTGGGCCTCATGTTCCTGCTGGCTGTAAGCCCATGTTGAAGGGACTCTGTTGCTCTTTTGATACCCCTTCTCCTGCAGGCCCGGCAGGGGGGCGGCGCAGCCAAGGAGGCCACGGTGGCGGTGGTGGACACCTTCATCTGGCAGGCGCTGGCCTCGGTCATCATCCCCGGCTTCACCATCAACCGCATCTGTGCTGCCTCCCTCTACCTCTTGGGCTCCCGGACCCGGTGGCCCCTGCCCGTCCGCAAGTGGACCACCACTGCCCTGGGCCTCTCTGCCATCCCCTTCATCATCAAGCCCATCGACAGGTAGGCCACCCCCCCCATCCCCCCAGGATTATGGGAGTTGAGGTCCCAGACATTGGGGGAACAGGACTCTAGATCCAATTCGAGCGATTCCCCTTTTCATTAAAGTTGTTTACGGAGGAATCCAGGCCATCTATAAATAGATGTTCCCGTATCCCATTGATCACCACCGTCAGGACTTATTGATTGACTTTGCCATGAAATGTCCCTTCTATGTAAAAACATTAGATCAAATGGCTAAGGATTCAAGGTTTGCCTTTGGGGAATTTACTTTTGTCATCAAATATTTATGAGCCCTACTTAGATGAATCTGTGCATACAGAATCCATGGATATGGAGGTACAGTTGATGAAAGAAGACAGGCATTACTTATATGCTAATAAGTATATAACAGCCCGATAACAATTCTGGGATCCTCTTTGTTATAGCAGCTCATTAGCACAATCTAGTGGCTTCCTTGTTATAGCAGCTCATTGTGACCCACTAGCGGTGCCTTGTGGCCTCTTTTTAGTCATAGCAGTTGCCTCACCAGCACCATCAGTGACCTTTTGGTGGTATACTGGTGGCACAATGGGTTAAACCAGTGTTTTTCAACCTTCCTAATACCGTGACTCTTTAATAGAGTTCCTCTTGTTGAGGTGACACCCAACCATAAAATTATTTTTGTTGCTACTTCATAACTATAATTTTGCTACTGTTATGAATCATAATATAAAATCTGATATGCAGGATGTATTTTCATTCACTGGACCAAATTTGGCACAAGTACCCAATACGCCCACATCTGAATACTGGTGAGGCTGGGGTGTGTGTGTGTGTGTGTGATTGATTTTGTCATTTGGGAGTTGTAGTTGCTGGGATTTATAGTTCACCTACTATCAAAGAGCATTCTTAACCTCACCAACGATAATAATTGGGCCAAACTTCCCACACAGAACCCCCATGACCACTCATGGCGACCCCTCTGATGCCCCCTCACAAACCCACCCCCCGGGGTCCTGACCCCCAGGTTGAGAAATGCTGGGTTAAACACTTGTGCCAGCAGGACTGTTGACCAACAGGTCAACAGTTCAAATCCAGGGAGAGCAGGTTGAGCTCCCTCTGTCAGCTCCAGCTCCCCACGCAGGAACATGAGAGAAGCCTCTCACAAGGGTGGTAAAACATCCAATATTTGGGCGTCCTTTGGATTGGAGATGGCCGATTCTCTCACACCAGAAGCGACTTGCAGTTTCTCAAGTCACTCCTGACATGAAAAAAAAGTAAATTATGGACCAAGCTTGAATTAAACTGGAGAAGAATCATAGAGTTGGAAAAGGTCTCATGGGCCATCCAGTCCAACCCTCTGCCAAGAAGTAGGAAAATCGCATTCAAAAACATTTTTAAAGCCTTGTTTCTTAGAACTTATTAGTTTAGTACAAAAATGTCACCCCTTTGCTATCTTGTAGGTCGGTGGATTTCTTGATGGACTCCAGCCTTCGGAAACTCTACAAAAGGGATGAGAAGCCCCCGACTTCCTTCTAAGGATCACCAAGACCCATTAAGCGGGAGCCAAAGGACTGTCTGGCTTCAATAGGGCATTAATTTATTATTGTATCGGGGGGCAAGGGTCCGATCATTGCCCGCTGTGTTCGGCAGGGAAGAGAAAAAAATGTGAAATTCGATGTGCAATAAATAAAACAAACCCCTTTCCTAGGGGCCATGACAACCTTCCTTCAAATGGAAACACCACCATCAGCTTCTGCCTGAGTCCGGAGGCTTCCAGAAACCTCTTTGCCACCCCAAAAGGGAGGTGAAGCTGGCTCTTAGACTCAACGTAATCACTTCTGTTTTATTTCCCAACTAAAACTGATTTTAGAAATAAAGTAGTGTATATGTGCAGCATTGCCTGTCTTTTCCTCTTCTCCGGCTCTGAGAAGGCCTACCTCACCACAACAATCCAATCTGCTTGCTCATTTTCTTTCCCTCACAGCCGGAGAAGGGAGAAAGCAAAGAGGCAGCAGTCCCATGGAGATATTCAGAAGTGGGCCCTCTCAGAGCTGGGGAAGGGAGAAAGTACACTCTCTCAGAGGTGAAGAAACAGGCTTTTTCAGAGCTGGAGGAGGGAAAAAGTAGGTTGGCAGCAGTCCCATAGAAACATTGCGAGGTAGGCTGTGTCAGAAGTGGGACTCAGAGCAGGAGAGGGGAGAAAGTATACCCTGTCAGATCTGGAGAAGGAGAACGCAGGCAGGTAGAGGTCCCATAGACACATTGTGAGGTGGGCCCTCTCAGAGCTGAAGACAGGAGAAAAGTATGCCTTTTCAGAGCTGGAGAAGGGAGAAAGTAATACCCCTAGAATCTGGAGAAAGTGGTGGGCAGCAGTCCCCTGGAAGGGAGAAAGTAGGCCGCCTAAGAGCTGGAGAAAGTGAGAAGGCAGTGGCTCCATATGATAACGTTGGGAATATCTACTAGTATAGATAGATAGATAGATAGGTAGGTAGGTAGGTAGATAGTAGATAGTAGGTAGATAGATAGATAGATAGATAGTAGATAGATAGATAGATAGATAGATAGATAGATAGATAGATAGTAGATAGATAGATAATAAATAGATAGATAGATAGATAGATAGATAGATAGATAGATAGATAGATAGATAGATAGGGAGACCCAAGGGCCAAATAGTTTCCCATGCTAGAATGACAGGGGATTCTCAAGATCGTCCAGTCCAACCCCTTTCTATTGGAAAAGCATCAGCTGGTCAAAGATGACCCAGAGCCTTTGGGAAAGGGCCTTAAGCCTTTTTATTTGCACTTTTGGGATGGGCGTGGGGGGGGGGGGGAGTCTCCTCAGGCGTCCTTTTCAGGGCTGTCGCTCTTGAGCTTGCAATAGTCCAAGGTGGACTCCCGCTCGATCTCCTCGGAGATGGCCAGGGCCTCGGCCACCGTCTGCAGCTCCGTGTGCTCCGTCTGGTCCCTGCTCAGCAGCCGATGGCCCCTGCTGGCCCGTGAGTGGCGGAAGAGGGCCAGGCCCAGGGCCAGAACGGTGCCCAGGAAGAGGGCTGCCAGCACACAGCTACCCACAAAGGCCACACTGACCAATAGCAGCTTCTTCATGGTCTGGCAGCGCCCTGGAAGGGGAGAGAAAGCCGGGTTCCTCAGGCGTCAGGGCCCAAAGGAACAAATCTTCCACATTTCTCCAACATTTAGTGTAAGCCGGCACTTGGAGCATGCCCTCCACCTTCCTCCTTGGCTGAGAGAGTGTGACTTTCCCAAGGCCCTCCCAATATGTTTCCTTGGCCAATTCAACCATTACCATGAGCCCCATTCATCATTGGTGTCTAAGGTTGAGGATGTAGTTGAGGAAATGCGGTACAAAATAGGTAGAGGCAGTCCAGGAATACCTGGCTACTTCAAATGGATTCCCATCTCCAAATGGAGAACACACCTTCAAACCATGGCAGCTCTTCTTTCCGCACTTGCAGAGGACCAAGCGCTGCCCAGTGGAGCTGTCCTTCACCCGAAAAAGCTACAAGGGAAGAGAAAAATGGGGGGGGGGGGGGGTGTTATGGGTTAGAGGAGGGCAACCCAGCCATGACTAGATGCTTTCTAGGGATGGTTCGGCTTAATAGGAGGTTAAGGCATACCTTGGAGACGTTCAGATGGATGGTGCTCCGAAGAGCAAAAGCCATTGCAGCACTGGCAGGCAGAGGTCTTAGAGGGTTCATCAAGGTTCTTCCATCTAAGAGAGAAGCCGATTTGGTAAGAACAAGCCGGAGAAGGGAGAAAGGAGGCCTTGTTGGAGCTGGAGAAGGGAGAAAGAGGGCCTTCTTCTGACAGCTGGAGAAGAGAGAAAAGTCAGAGCAGGAGAAAGGAAGCCTCAGAGCTGGAGAAGAAAGGCCGTATTCTCAGAGCTGGAGAAGGGAGAAAGTGGGCCTTCTGACAGCTTGAGAAGGGAGAAAGGAGGCCTCAGAGCTGCAGAAGGGAGAAAGTGGGCCTTTTTCTCAGGGATGGAGAAAAGAGAAAGCAGAACTTACATGGCTGATATGCGGTCGAAAGAGCATGTTTTCTTGCCAGAACTGGTTGGAATCTTCTGGCTCCAGGCCGCAAGTAGACAATGAAAGTGGATCTGGCAGAAGAAACCCCGATATGCACAACTTTGACTTTGGAATCTTAGCTTTCCGAAATGGATTTGCAAACTGCAGTCCATGAAAGTTGCAGGAAACGGTACATATGGACTGACAAATGGGTTGTGTTCCCCAGTGGATGCCTTCCTACCTCCTCTGATGCGCTGTCCAGCAAGAAAGCAGGGGTCTGCAGTGTCAACACAATGGCCAAGTCGTCTTTGCGGAACCAGATGGCCTCCGAGTCGCCAGCATAGAGGCACCTGCGGGACAAAACAAGGGATCACTTCACCCCAGAAATGGTTCAAAAGTGGAAATGAAATGAGAGCAGCAGAAAAGAGTCAAAACTGGAAGGCCATCCTCTAGACAAGTCCAGTTTTGTCCAAAGGATGAACACGCATTTATGACCTTGGGATTGGTCAGATGTATATAGATAGATATGGACTAGATGTCATTGGGACTTCTGCTTGCCTCCTTTCCCCCTTCTCCAGCTCTGAGAAGGCCTCCTTTCTTCTGCTGCAAGAAGACTTATTTATCCCTTCTTTGGCTCTGAGAAAGGCCTACTTTCTCTTTTCTATAGCTCTGAGGTCTACTTTCTCTCTCTGTTCTCCAGCTCTGAGAAGATGAACTATTTTTGCTCTTCCCTAACTCTGGGAAAGGCTTCTTTCTCCCTTCTCTAGCTCTGAGAAGATCTAGGACTTTTTCCAGCTTCGGGAAGATCTGACTTTCCTCCGTCTCCAGCACTGAGGTCTGCCTTCTCCTCTCTCCAGTTCTGTGGCAGACCTTCTCCCCAGCTCTGAGGGCGGCATCCCAGGCCTCCCACCTCACCCATGGTTGCCCGCAATGATGAAGGCCCTTCTGGATTGGCTCTGGTGCGGGGCGTCCAGTACATAGCATTCGTCGACAAAGAGTTTGGGGAAGAGCCCGGCTTCTGCCTGGAGGGTGGCCTGGATCCGGATGGCACGGCCTTGGGTGTAGATGCTGGGTTCCGCGGAGACAACAAGGTCTTCTGCAGGGATGATAATAATAATAATAATAATAATAATAATAATAATAATAATAATAATAATAATTTGTTTCCCACCTGATCTCCCTGTGGGGACTCAAGGCAGTTTCCAGCACAAAAGACAAACATTAAATACCTAGATAAAACAAAACCATAAAAAACAATTGGGTGTTATCTGCATATATGTGACACCGAACTCCAAAACTCTGGATGCTCTCACTCAGTGGCTTCCTGTAGATATTGAACAGCATGGAAGACAACATAGAACCCTGTCAGGGGTGCTTTGAATGTTATTTTCCTGTTTATTGGCAGGGGGTTGGACTGGATGGCCCATGAGGTCTCTTCCAACTCAATGATTCTATAAAACAGGAGTTGCCCAGCACCACTTTCCGAGTCCAATCCCCCAGGAAGTAACGGAATGACTGTAGAACAGTGTCCTCAAGTCCCATCCTGGAGAGACGGCCCAGGAGGATTTCTTGGTTGATGATATTGAACACCGCTGAGAGGTCCAGGAGAACTAACAGGGACACACTGCCCCTGTCGAGCTCTCTGTGTAAATCATCCACCAAGGCAACCAATGTTGTCTCAGCTCCGTAACCTATTTTGAAATGGATCCAGATAGTCTGTTTCCTCCAGGAAACTTTGGAGCCGAGAGGCAACTACCTTCTCTGGAACCGGCCATGTGCCAAAGGTATTTTACTTGGCGCATTGACTTATACACTTAGGCCATTCAAGGTCCCAGTTCAAAACATAAAGATAGCTCACCTCCGAAGAACATAAAGCAAAGACTTATAACAAGCAGCGTACTACAAATGTCCAAGGAGCAAGAGTCTAAAACATAGCCATCTTTCTATAGCTTTTCCGAAGAGAAACCAAAGTTCAAGGGTAGTCCAAACACAGTCATTGAGGGTCAGTCCTGGGATTCGCAGTCCATCAAGGTTCACAGCAGGGTATAAGTACAACAAGGTTCACCAACACAATCTTGGTTCAAGGTTCCACAAGGTACAAGGCTTACAAGAGCTCATAATACAGATACGGATACCATAATGCACCAACCTGGGGGAAACACCACCTGTATCCACAGACAAGTATGACAGATGCTTTCCTCCCAAAGATCAGTCTCTGCGTGGATCATAGCTGCATTCTCTCCCTTGCAAGCCTCCAACCTTAATTGCTACCACCTGTAAATTGCTACCTGCAGATTACTCTGCCCTTTAGAACTAGGAGGCAGATTAACCCCTTCTATACCATCTGAAGCATCACCACCCTACAGGTCATGATCCTGCCAAGACTTCTGTAGATTAACCACCACCGACTGCTAAGCATTCCAACCACCACGAACTGCTAAGCATTCCAACCACCACCGACTGCTAAGCAATCCAACCACCACCGACTGCTAAGCATTCCAACCACCACCGACTGCTAGGTATTCCAACCACCACCGACTGCTAGGTATTCCAACCACCACCGACTGCTAAGCATTCCAACCACCACCGACTGCTAAGCATTCCAACCACCACCGACTGCTAAGCATTCCAACTACCACCGACTGCTAGGTATTCCAACCACCACCGACTGCTAGGTATTCCAACCACCACCGACTGC